CAGAAAAGAGGGTGAGGAAAGAGAATTTGGAGTCATCATCTAAGGTTGCACCATACTCACCGTCCTCCAAGCAACCTGAATAAAAACCAGCTGAAAGCCAGGAGTGGTGGCTCGCACCTGTAATACGAGCACTCTGGGAGGCCAAGGAGGGAGGCTTACTTGAGCCCAGGAGTTTGAGATCAGCCTGGGCAACATGGCGAATCCCCATCCCTACAGATAATATAAAAAGTTAGCTGGGCACGGTGGCACACCTGTGGTCCTAGCTGCTCAGGAGGCTGAGCTTGGGAGGTCAACGTTGCTGTGAGCCATGATGGTGCTATAGCACTCCAGCCTGGGTGACAGAGTGAAACCCTGTCTCAATAAAATAAAATAAGTAAGCAAATAAAATAGTAAAAACAGCAACTAACTGGCCGTCCCCTCTGTTGATGCATTCATGTATTAATTTTTTTTCTTTTTTTGAGATGAAGTCTCACTCTGTCACCCAAGCTGGAGGGAAGAGGCATGATCTCTGCTCACTGCAACCTCCACCTCCCGAGTTCCAGCAGCTCTCCTGCCTCAATCTCCCGAGTACTGGGACTACAGGTGCGCACCACCATGCCCAGCTAATTTTTGTATTTTTAGTAGAGACAGGATTTCACTATGTTGGCCAGGATGGTCTTGAACTCCTGACCTCATAATCCATCCACCTCGGCTTCCCAAAGTGCTGGGATTACAGGCATGAGCCATCGCACCCTGCCATGCATTAATTTAGCACATGGACTGAGGACCTACTATAGCCATACAGTATCAGAAAATGATACACAAATAATACACAATATATCAGCTAGTGTACATGATTATAAAGACTTACAAAAGGAGACTGCAAACATAGTGCAGCAGTTTTGCCGAGTTCAGAAGACAGAGGTTGGAGTTTGGGAGACTAGAATTTGTGAGCAGAGTGGCAGAGAGGATGATGTAAGAGAAGGAGCTCCAGGAACTGCATAGTGGATCCCTTTGAGTCTGCGGCTGCATATTAGTCTGCACCTGTGTAGGAATAAAACCCATGAGATCAGTCCAAGAACAATTTGATGTGCAGTTTGAAGACCACGAACTACCAGAGACCTGTCAGGAGAACTGTTTCCAGCACTCCAAGAGCTGTGGAGGCTCTCACTGGTCATTCAGCAGAGACAGTGTTTCCAGTGCATTTGCCTTCTCCACGTGAATGTTTGTTTTTCTTGCAGCAACTCACAGCTTGCCCTCTGCACTCACCTGCGCTTCTGTGAAAGCTTGATCCTCTTGGCTGGTCACGGCGGCTCACTCATGTAATCCCAGCACTTTGGGAGTCTGAGGCGGGAGGATCACCTGAGGTCAGGATTTCGAGACTATCCTGGCCAATATGGTGAAACCCCATCTCTACTAAAAATACAAAAATTAGCCAGGCATGGTGGTGCGCGCTTCTAATCCTAGCTACTCGGGAGGCTGAGGCAGGAGAATGGTTAGAACCCAAGAGGCGGAGGCTGCAGTGAGCCTAGATTGCACCACTGCACTCCAGGCTGGGTGACAGAGCGAGACCTTTCTCAAACAAAACAAGAAAAGAAAAGAAAAGAGGAGCAAGCTTGATCCTCTCACAGGGACAGCCACCTCTTGGCTTACCCCAGTCTGTACCTGACTGCCACTTCCATCCTTGTAATAGTTCCCAGCCTTCTGCAACCTTCTCGAACCCACCGTTCCTTTCCAGCTCACATCAGTTCTCTGGCTTTAAGGATAAGTTGACAAGTAGGAGTTTCTGGCATGTTTCAGAGCAAGGATGAGAAGAGAAAGGAGATTAGATTCTGGAGACAGAAGGTCAAAGTAACTCTTTATAGCTGGCCAAGGGAGGACAGAAATTGTTCATTCACTTAAAAGGAAGAAGATCAGCCTAAGAAATGGGTTTGTTTTAGGTCAGAGAAGATTCAAGTTCTGTGAAAACACTAGAAACGAACATTAGAGTGGAAAGAGTTAGAGAGACCATTGCTGAGGGGGAATTGCTAGAAGAGTGACCATCTTTCTCATCTATAAATTGGCATGGCCTTACCTCACAGACTTGTCTGTGGATGGAATGTTACTACAGGAAAGCTTCTAACACAATTATCCAGATAAACTAATGCTCAAGAATCATTTGCTTTTGCCCTGTCTTCTTTTTTTTTTTTTTTGAAATGGAGTCTCACTCTGTGGCCAAGGCTGGAGTGCAATGGCATATTCTCGGCTCACTACAACCTCTGCCTCCCGGGTTCAAGTGATTCTCCTGCCTCAGCCTCGAGAGTAGCTGGGATTACAGGCACCTGCCACCATGTCTGACTAATTTATTTATTTATTTATTTAGTAAAGACAGGGTTTCATCAGGTTAACCAGGCTGGTCTCGAACTCCTGGCCTCATGATCTACCCACCTGGGCCTGGGCCTCCCAAAGTGCTGGGATTAAAGGCATGAGCCGCAGCACCAGCCTCTTCCTCTTGAAATAACTATTGTCATTCCTGTATATTAAGGAGTAAGATAGAGGGGTATTCTGAATAAATTTTTAGTCACGGAGGATAAAATACATAGTTTTTTATAAAGTTAATTTTTTTGGTTGTTTTAGAGATAAGATCTCGACACTCTGTCCAGGCTGGACTCAAACTCCTGGGCTCAAGTGATCCTCCCACTTTGGCCTCCTAAATAACTGGGACGACAGGCACACACTACCATGCCCAGTTTAAAATCAATGATTATGCTATGACATGACAAACTCACTGAGCAGGCAGGCTCCCTGGGGCTGCAAAATAACCCAAAGCAAGAAGAACAGAGTCTTACAGAGGATTGCTCAGCAGAGCTCAGGTGCATGCCTCCTGCACAAGACTGCACCAGGTGATGCCAAGCTTGGCCCAAGAGAGCACTTTGCTAAAGGGTTATCTAAGTCAGGAGCCCTCTCTGCACTGCCACATCTGTGAGAACCCCTCCCAGTTCAGTTAATCTCTGTAGCAACCACATTTCAAAACAAACAAGAAAAACATTATCAAGAGAAAGGAAGCAGTTGCTGCAGCCCTCAGACCAGATGAGGGGAGGAATGCCCGACCTCTCGAGGTCTCATCTGATGACCTTAGGTTTTTTTCTATTGTTCAGGTATGGGGCACTTTGTAATCTCCAGAAACTACCGATTAGCACTGTCAAATTCCCAAAGAGAACTGTTGACTTAGCATCAAGGCTTCTACTTAGTTCTTTACCATTTTGAAGCCAAAGACTCCTTTGAAAATGGAAGGAAATACTTGCATCTTCTTCCATAGGAAACCTTACATACACAAAAACTTGGCGTACAACTTGAGGGATTTCAGCTGCTAAAAGCACCTCAATGTTCAGCAAAGCAGAGATTACATAAATTCTAAAATCCAATCTCTATACAGGTATTGATCGACTTACGACCTATGCAACTTACGACCATTCGACTTTACGACCACAATCGCTAGCCACGACTGCTCCGCGTCTGGCAGCGCAAATGTTGCCCAGCTGGGCATACGACAGTGCGGACCAGCTTCCGGCAGCACTACCATCTCCGCGTGCATATAGGCTACTCAACTTACGACTAAATCGTGTTACGACCGGTCTGTTGGAACTATCGTGGTCTTAAGTCAAGCACTAGCTGTAAATCTATACCTGAGATTTTTTTTTAAAATAGGCTATAAAATGTTTTCAGATAAAGAATAAAGCACTATCTGAGAGAACAAAAGGAAAGGGAATGCAAGCTAAGCCATGTGAGCACTTTAGTTTGCCCAGTCCATTTAAATATCTGTTTCTCTGCCTTCTAATCAAAGGCTTACTTCATGAGCATCTGAATGCAGCTGCCAAAGGAGTCCTAAAATCCATAGGAAATGAAAAAGACCAGGCTCTCCTTGTTCTATCCTACCACACAGAAACAGAGCACAGTCTTACGAGATATAGGGCTTGCTCCTGAGACTTCTCGTACCTGGGGAGGATTTTTAATGATGAAATCTTCAATACTGGCCTCTCCTAACGTTAGCCTCGTTAGAAGAAAACAAGGCAGATAAAATTATTCATAATTTGTCAAGCTTAATGTTAAGATATTATTTTAATTGGGTTCAATCAATAAGAGAAAATCAGTTTAGCATCTTTCCCAGTGTTTTGTTTTGTACAACAGGGTCTTTTATTACCGAAACATTTCTTTTTTTTTTTTTTTTTTTAAGCGGTTTTTCTCTTTTTTTCCCCGGTGGAGTGCAATGGCGCGATCTCGGCTCACCGCAAC